TTTATCTTATTTGGGGTTGGTTAAATTCCTTAAATATTTGAGTTTCTTCGTTTACATCAAATGTGGAAAACCTCTGGCAAACATTGCTTCAGATGTTTTTCTATTTTACCTTTTCTCCTCACCTGTGGAACTCCAGTTATGTGTATGCTAGACCACTAGACAGTGATCCTGACCCTGAATTTTTCCTCCTTTCTTCTTCTTTTTTTTTTTTTCATTCATTTTTAGGCAGTTTCTCTGGCTTTGTTTTTAAGTTTAATTTTAGTGCATGATTTATTAACTTCAATTAGTGAATTTTTATTTCAAATATTATAACTTTAGTTCTAGATGTTCCATTTGATTCTTTGACTTCTAATGTTTCTATTCATTGTGTTTTCCTTTCAAAACTACATTATAGTTAAAATACCTGTGTAAATGTCTACTGGTTCTATCACCATTGTCATTCCTAGGTGTATTTCTCATTATTTCATTATTTTGAAATGATTTTAGGCTTATAAATTACAAAAGCAGTAAAGGGAGTTCTTCCAGCCTACTCCCTTATATTAACACTTTACATAATCATAGTACAATGATCAAAACCAGGACTTATATAATGATACAATACTATTAGCTAATCTGTGACATTATTGAAGGTTTACCTCTCTTCATACTAATTATCATTTTTCTGTTCCAGAATCTAATCTGTAATTCATAAAACATTTAGTTCTCATATCTCCTCAGTGTTTTCTGATTTGTAAGAGTTGTTCAGTATTCCTGTCAATGACCTTTTCATACTTTGAAAGTATTTGTTATTTTGTAAAATGTGCCTCAGTTGCCAAGATACCTAGAAACTACACTAGTATACTATTTCTCATGTGATCATTTCATAATACTACTAACAACCAATACTAACATACACTGCATAGCACTTCATTTAATCTCTACAGCAGGTACAATTGCAGAAGGAAGTGTAATTGGGGCCAGGACTTTGACACCCAACCCAGAGGGCAAAAGATAAAGAGAAAAGCTACTCAAACACTTGTATTATCATCCCTATTGGAGACCAGCCCCTTAGCCGGAGGAACTCTGTATAGCTGAAATCTGTCTTGCACAGTGCTGGCCACAGAGTATATGCTTAGAAAAAATTGAGTACATGATTGCCAGACAGTTGAATCATCAGTATCCACACTAGTTGAGACTTGAGTGTTTTTTCCAAGGAGAAAGTCAGTTTTTATTCACTATGGCCTTTCAAAATGTGTAAGCTATTTTCTGGCCTTCATTTTGGTCTTTGAATATGCCAAGTTCTTTCTGCGCTGCTGCCTTTGTGTGACTGATTTGTCTCTACACACCTTCCTCCAGCTCTTCACATGACTGGTTCTGTCTTGTCGTTTTCATTTATTCCCCAAATCATTTTTTCAGAGATCCAATCCACTGACCTTCCTCACTTGCCTTCACCACACTGTTAGCCACTCTCCATTCCATTTTCCTGCCTTACTTGCTCCATAGGACCTTGCCTGATTGGTTCACAATACATGTGCAGCACCTAACTTCGGGCAGCATAGAGAGAGATTTGTTGCATGAGAGAATTAACCAACTGATTGATTCATCTATATTTGACACCAAGATAAATGTTCTGCAGTGCAACATTGAGGTCCTCAACACCCTCGTAGCTGAACCTTGAACTTCAAGATTCATTCTGAGAATGGGTTTTCTATGGTACCGTAGTATTAAAACCCAAAGAAATATTTATAAACTCATTTGAAGCATGTATGGACCTTACACTTCCATGTTAATGATTCTGGTCCTTATATGAAATAGAATCTTTAATCTATGGATAAAGGGCTATGAATTTTTACACAGGTGTGGCTGTACTAAGGTTAGTAAATTTGCTTTTATATGGCATTTAAAGATTATTTATATCAAGCCAACAACCTAATGGCTCAGCCACGGATTAAATGGGAATTTGGAAAATCAGAAGTTTTGTTTCTTGCATATTTGACTACCTTTGAGTCCAAGTTGAAGATCCTAATCTCACTTGTAATGTGCATCACTAACGAAGAGTTAAATAATAATTGAAAAATTCCAAGCAGGGTGTTACACATACCAGGTTTTATTTAGGAGGTAAATTAGGAACAAATTTGTATGGGCTTACATATAAACATGCAAAAGCACATTCAAACATAAATATGCCTGTGTACATGCACATATATCCTACTCTTAAAGGAATTTCCAATAAGACCTGTTTTAGATTTTATTGTACCAAACATTAGGACACTTGAACTTACTCAAGTCCTTTGGCTCTTTGCTTCTCTTAAATCATTTTTCTATTTGATTAATGTGCTGAATTTGGGAAAGCGTCAAAAAATTTCTACAAACTGTAAAACCACTTGAGTACACACAAAGAGCCTCTTATCTTTTTCATCAAACCATACATATTTCTGAGACTGACCCCAGGTTACCAACAATTTTTCCTTTTGAATATCTAATTTATCTTCAATTTAAATTTTTCTGTACTCTCAACTCTTGGCCCTGTTCATCTTTCAAGATTTGTGCTTTGTTCTGCACTCTCAAGTAGATCTGCCTCCATTGGTTTAAGGTGGTTGTCAAGGGGAATTGTCTTGTTGATTCTGGTCTATTTTATAATGTGCAGTCCATGCGCAGAATTGTATTTTTTTATTCCAGGGCCTTCATAAGGCACAAAGGCAATCTGGAAGTGAGAAACTTTTAAAGTGTATCCATTTATTGACTAAATGTACGGTGTTGGTTATTTTGTATATAAACTTGTGACAACAGTAAACAGGTATCTAAAATTTTAAGTGTAAATGAATCAAATACTTCAAATCACCACCCATGTTTCAGTACTAAAGAGACAGATTGTCATCTGACATGATGATGCATGCTTGTAATCCCAGCACTTACAAGGCTGAGGCAGGAGGATTGCTGAGAGTTTGAGGCAAGCTGGGGCTGTGGAGTGACTTCAAGGCTAGCTTGAACTACATAGTCAGACCTTGTCTCAAAAAGAAAGACTGAAGTCCTTGCATGGTTCTTGGTTGAAGTCCCTGTCCTACCATAACTCTTTGAGCCTCAGACAAATTGCTGGCCCCCAATTGCCTGTCCTGTGAGATGGGACTAGGTCATCAGTCACTTTATATTCTTCCCTGGAACTAGCTCACTGAGTCATTTTATGTCCTTTCTTACAATCCCTGGTTCCTAGGAAGGCTTATGTCCTTTACCCTGAGAGGAAAGTTCTATAGACTATAGTCCAGGAACTTCTAGGTCCTGGGAGTCAAGTAGAACGGTGCTCTCTCAGTGTTCTCAGGAGATGTCCAGGGCCTTTGGCCTTGTATGAATTATTACAAGAAATGGTTCAATTTTCACACCTTTTTATGCACTGTGATTTATACTTTCAGATTTATACATTCCTTGGGTGCATTCAACTGATCAAAAGTTTTCCTAGTTATGTTTAATTGCACTTCACAGTTTTCACACTAATCACATACCCTCTAAATTAATCTTTACAACTCAGTAAAGGGGTAGTATCTGTGTACAAGTGGTCAAACTGAGGCCCCATGACAGTAGGTGGCAGAGCTCTCCCTTCTACATACAAGTACAGGCCTCTTTTTTGACATACTCAAGTTTTTATTCTCACCATTTTCTGTCTAGCTTATGAGCATTTATCCTTACATAATCCTCTTTAATTATGAATTGCATTTTAAGAAAAGAAAAATCAAATTCATTCTGCTTCATCCTTTCATCCTCTTGCAGATTATTCTTAATGAATAGGTCAATTTATCCTCATCAGTGACAAGCCAGAATTTAAGGAAAGCTTCTGCTTAGCTGGTGCATGTCAGATCTTTAATTCGGCTGTAAGATTTTTAGCATTTACTGTACTTTTGTTAATAAGCATTAATTTGATGGTCTCATGATAATCGAGCCTATTTAAGAGGGGAGAAAGTACTAAATGAGATTTAGGGAGGAATCAGTATTTTCACAGACATTAAAGGAACTGTGACTATGTGTGTGGTTTTTTTGGTTTTTTTGGTACCAGGGATTGAACTTGGGACCTTGCGCTTGCAAGGCAGGCGGCAGCACCACTGAGCTAAATCCCTGGCCCTTTATATGTGTGTTTTAATCAGAATGTGTATAAATTAAAGTCATGCTCTAGCAAAAGAAAAAGGGAAGCCAAGAAATAAGCTTAGATTTTTATTCCTTTAAGAACATGCACAAAATGCCTGCTCTGTGCCAAATGTTCTAGGTACTGGATAGGAAGCTGTCGGCATGGGAGACAACTCTGCCCTTGAGACTTCTGCATTCTAAGGAGGTGGGTGGACAAATTCCATCCACACAGTGTGGGCAGCTGTGAGAAAAGCTGAGCAAGAAAGAGGCAGCATTCTGGGAAAGAAGTCAAGGAAGGAATCACCACCTTAATACTATGGCGTAGAGTCTGATTTCCAGCAACATTTTTTGTAGTTTATACATCCAGAATAAATTATTTTTAACTTTTTACTCAGTAAGATTCCAACTTATAGTAATGACACCTGTTACATTCTTCAGAGGGATATTAGGGACAACTACTTCTACCCACAAGTCTATGCTTATTTGTTCTATTATACATTAAAGTCTACATAAGACTTCATGGGTTTTTTTTAAAAAGGTTCTGCCTTTTAAAAAAAAAAGCAGAAAAAGAAAAATGTTTAGGAATTATTCATCTCAGAATCTTGTTTTCTTTCATTCTTCTATTTTTATTTTTTCCTAAAATGATGGTTCCTATTCCATAAGCTTGAGTGATATTAACATTATTTTTTAATTTTAACATTATTTTGTAATTCCTTTGACAATTGGAAGAAAAGCTTGCTTCTTGGCTGGGTGTCCAGGAGCCTGATGTTAGTCCTAGAATAAGATAGGGCAAGAGCTATTTTCTTCCCTTGCAAACTCAAGGGACTAACCGAGCCAGCCTACTTAGTGTTCTAGAGGCTGCTTGTGGTGCTCCAGATTTCAGGTGACAGTTTTCCTTTCCTCTCTAGGTGGCAGCACAAAGACAGAAAAGAGGCAAGTGAGGGCTTCATGCAAGACTTGTCCACTTCCTGCGAAACTACAGACACCCCTCAAAGGGCTTAAGACTTTTTCTTCTGCACTCTGTAGAAAACCACCAAGTGCCAAAGATGTATTTTAAAAAACCAACACGGAATGCTTATTTCTTTGATCAGCAATGGGCAACAGCATTTATCCCGAGCAGCATTTATTCCTCAGAGTATGGATCTGGAGCATTCAAACCACCTCAAGCTCTGCCCCACCCCATCCCCTTAGAAGTGTGGATCTTTCTACTACCATGGTTCAGATTTTGAAATATCAAAAGGAGAAGACTCATTGTGAAATTTGGGTCATTTCTTGAATTTGATCTGTTGACTTGTCCCACTCAGGTCAGGTTATTATGTGTAACTAATACTGGATTTGAGGGTATTGGAGACCCCTTCTAGAGGTGGTTTCCAGGTTCTCTCCATCTCGAACAATCAATTGACCAAAATAGGCAAAAATAGTGGCAAACCTTCACATTTATTTGAAAAATTAAAAGAGAAGGGTAAGGGAGAAACGCTTTGCAGCATGAGCTTGAGCCAAATAAAAGTAAAAAATTAAAACTAAAATAAAAATACACACTGGGGTCATGGGGGGTTATCATGAGGAAAGCCACAGTAGTGCTCTTTCAATGGCATCCTCTCCTTTTATTCATTCCACACATGTGGAACTCGAAAGAAGTCTGTATACTAGATCCTGGCAATTATTTGGTCCACTTACTCCCCAAGCCAGCTTTGCCACACCCTGTCCTTCTCTCATCACTGTGCATGTAGAACACTCAAATACACATTCAGAAGCTCTGGAGAACCAAGTTTCAACCTTCACTTTACTGAAAACCTGACCCTTCTTTACTCCTTACCATTTTGGCAGCTTCTAACTTATAACAATACTTAAATGTGCATTTTATGATCTCTTGGAACAATAAACATTACTTTATTTTTAAAAGATTTGTCCAATGTGTGCATTACTATTTTTTTAGAATGAGGGCATAAGATACAAGGGCAAGTTAGATGCCAAAAAATAACTCAGTGGGGAATTCTAGCACATAGTAACTATGTCTTAGGAGGCAATGGGGGGTTTTGTGCACACTTATCCCAGGATTTTGAGTAAGCTCACCCACTAGACTTTTAGGAGAAATGGGGTAGCTGCTGGTTGGTGATCTTCCTGCATTCAGAAGGCATCCCCAACCTCTTCAAGAAATCATTGTTTCTGAATTTCTGACTCCATCAGGTTAGTTGAACCTAGTTCTGGCAAGTACTCTGTAATTTTTGCACAACCCCTTTAATATGTACAAATTTTTGTTAACTTCACAGGAATTTTAACATTCCTGTGCTTCCATAGTTGAGAAGCCAGTCTTCTCTAAAAACTCCAACTCTACAAAGCCACCCCATTTCTGAAGATATTACAGGCTTGTAAGAGGGAATTCTCAACAGAAATGATGTTTGAAACCCAGCCATTTTGGTAAGGATCAAGAGCCTGACACATGATTCCCCACATAGTAATGGAGTTAAAATCTGACTTCTTCCATCCTCTCCCTCTACAATCCCAAGCACTGTCTTGGGAGTCAGTCGCCCAATGCAACTGCCAGTACCAGAAAGCTACTGCTAAGTACTGTGCCCTTGAACAAATTGTATAGCCTCTCATGACAGGAGAACCTGGTAGTGTAGTGGCTATCAGAGTTGGGTGGAGCTCTACCTGTACATCTCTTCTTCCAGAGAGATTTACCACTGGGAGACCTCTGGAGGTGGAGGTGGGCAGTTGGCACTGTGGTCCCAGACAGCAAGGCTCTTCAGGACATGAAAGGCATGTTGATACAGTTCTGTTTCTACCACTGGCTCTACTTGCCAACATGTCTTTGTTCCTCTGCTTCTGTCTCTTCCTCTCCTCCCTCCTCTCTCCTCTTTCCTCTTCCACATGCTCACACTGTAGTCACTGGACAATGTAAACTAGAAACTCTAATCTCCTACTTGTGTCCCAAGCTCATATTCCACTGGCCTCTGAATTGGAAGAACTAATACTTCAAATTCAGTACACCTAAAATTTACAAATTCATTTAATTTTTTATACAAGTGTGAAACAATCCCACTAAAAGAGAAAGTGACAGCAATCCCCATTGCTTACCAGCACCACCCAGCTCCCCTGGGTAACTGTATTCTTGGCTCTAATTCAGATCCTTTTCTTAGCTATCCAATTTCCAACACCAGTTTCTGCCCCTCTTCTAGCCAGGAGTCCTATAGTGACAATTTGTACAATTCACTTCATCAGTTTATTTAAAAATCGAATCCTATTGAGTCCTTCAAATATATTTCATGCGAAATTTAAAATGGGTCAACAGATATGAAACCCTTACACGTTCAAATAAACGATTTCCTCTCCACACCCACTTCCACTAAGCATAAGACTATTTCCCAGCTGTATTGGAAATTCTCTGGAGAGCAGAGACCATATGGTTGTGTCTCAAATAGAGACACACCTACAGTACTGAGCATGCTTTGAGAGTCCCATACTTGGATCATTAGTCACTGATAGACAGATAAAGTGACATTCCCCTTCCCTCCCAAATTGCTAAGGACTTTGGGAAAACAGTTGTGCTCAGAGCTGGAAGAGAAGTGGGAAATGGAGACTGCTGGTGAGAGTTTTATAAAAAGCTCCACCTAATAGAGACCAAAATAGAAGTACCAAAGGCTTAAAATTGATTATAAAATGCATGGGTACCACCGCCCCGAGTGCAAAGGAGGTGAACCTTCCTGGCCACCATACCACTGCCCCAAGAGCCAAGGAGGTGACCTGCATGGGCACCAGCAGCACACATCCTCCCACTCCCCTTGAAATGAGAAGACACATAAACAACTCTCAAAACCAGACTTCCAGATCACCTAAAGCAACCCCAAAGGGCAAAGAGATGGAACAATCAGATAATCAACCACCTGTACTCCCTGGACTGGCAAGAAAAGGGGATTTAGAAAAAATGAAATCAGAAATAATTTCTCAGCAATCAGCAGAGATTGTGTCCATAGCACAAGACATGATTAATAAATCTAGAGAGGACACAGATAAAAAAAAAGAGAGGAGCTGAGGAACATGATGGAATCTCAACATAGAAAACAAATGGAATCCATAAAACAGATGCAAATAGATTTCCAGGACATGAAAAACTCCACTGAAAGTTTATGCAGCAGAATAAGCCAAAGTGGGGACAGAATTGCAGATATAGAAGATAAGACTGCAATTAGTGACCAGGAAAAGAAAAATTGCTTTTAAATTGTAAGGGACCATGAGAAATCAATCCAGCAGCTGCTAGATGATGGAAAGAAGAATAACATAAGACTGATTGGAGTCAATGAAGAAACAGGAGAGAGTGGAGATGACGTAAAAAAATGTTCCCAGAAGTGATGGCAGAAAACTTCCCAAGCAGGGGGAAAGAACTTGACATACAGATAAGTGAGGCATATAGGAATCCAAATAGCCTTCATCAAAAAAAATCTACACATAGACATATAATAGTTAACATTCTAGAAAAGCAACAGAAGAACAAAGTTCTACAAAGCAGTTAGAGAAAAGAAACAAATCAAATATACAAAGGAAAGACCATAAGAATCACAGCTGACTTCTCAACACAAACAATCAAGGCAAGAAGAGCTTGGAGTAACATATTTCAAGCCCTAAAGGAAAACAGCCTCCAACCCAGATTGATGTACCCTGCAAAACTATCTTTCAAAATTGATGGAGAAATAAGATACT